TAGTCCGTTTATTTTGTTCGTTAGATTCCACAGTAGGTAAGATTATATGGTATTTGTCTTTCTCTGGCTGGCTTATGCAATTATGTACATTTTGACACAGTCCCACTTCCAGGAAATTATCCTGTGGAAATTTCCACACACATGATGAACACACAAGGACGTTTGTTGTGGTGCTGTTTCTATTTGTAGCAAGACTGACACCCACCTCAATGCCCATCAATAAGGAACTGGTTAGATTCGGAGCCACGCAATGCAGTGAACTCTCTGCAGCCACTAAGAAGAATGAGGAAACTGTGCGTGGTGGTGGGGAAAGCAACACGATACAGTAAGTTAAACACAAAACAAAACAGGTAGAGACTAGCAGGCTCCCATTTGAGCTTAAAAATACACACACTCATGCACACAGACTCCCAGAAGGACACGCAGGGGCTGGGGCAACAGCAGGTACCTCTGGAGAGACATGGGGGCCCCGTGAAATACAGGAAGAAGGAGCATTTATTTTTCTGTGTGTACCTTTTGAACGGTGGGCTTGTGCTTCTAGTACCTGTTCAGAAATAAATGTGTAGACAGATAACAAAGTAAAATGTATATTGTGTCAGAATAGTGAGTGAAAAGGCTGTTCTTCCTGACTTAAAAACCAAGTTTGGGAGATTCTGAGAGGGGTTGGGGAGGCCCTGGTCTCCATCACACCCCTGAACCTTATGCACCCCGTTCTGTTTCCCTTTTCCGGTCAAAGTGATCGATGTCTCTGCCCTGGGGCTGCTGCTCAGCGGCCCCCAGCACCCTCCTCTGCCCCTGTAGCCCATCTCCTTGCTTTCCAAGTGTTGCCGCCCTGGCCTGCCTGCCGTGGAGCCGCTGCCCAGGGTCTGCAGGCCCCAGGCCTTGGCAGACCCACGTGCAGCCCTGTTTCAGGGCAGGGTTTCGGCCACACTGGCCCCGTGCAGACCTGGCCTGCATCCCGGCGGTCCCAGGGCGAGGAGTTCATCCCACCGAGGTCTACAGAAACCCATCCAGCCTTCAAGGCACCTCTCAACCTTTGTTGGTCAAGCCCGTGGTCTTAGGAAACAGTGAGCCGGGGTTTTAGAAATGATCATGGATGTAAAACCACCCCCATCCCTCAGGGCTCTCCTAAGGGAGTTTAGGGACATTTTTATGCCTCGGCCTAGGCTAAGCTCACGTGAAGGTAGACTCACACACGGGTGTTGGCCGCTGTAATTAGAAAGGAGCACAGCTTCCGGGATGAGCCTCGGCCGGACACTTGTTTTCAGGCTCCTGCCCTGCCGCTGAGTCATCTCTGTGCCCAGTAGCTGCTCACTCACAGTGCATGTGATGATGCCTGCATACAATGCGGTCTTGGCTGGAGGGGCGGCGGGGGGGTTGATGTGTCTGGAGAACAGAGTCCCTCTCTGGGAGGAATGAGCGCAGACCCAGGTAAGAATTCCAGTTCTGAGTCTTTGTGGAATCCCAACCACGGTCTCATCCGCTCCATGAGGTCTGGGCCATTGACAGGCGCTGTTGGGCCTGCGGTGTGTTTGCAGATGGTATGGCAGTGCGGGGCCCTGTCTCTGTGGAGCAAGCACTTCCCCGCTGGGAATACAAACGCGGTCTCCTGGTGGGCGCGCCAGGCTGGTTGGTATAAGCATGATTGTCTCGCGGCTCTGAAATTCCCACTGGGAAGCTTTCAGGGCCCATACGGATGCTGGGACGGGTTGGAGGGGGGAGAAGAACCTGCCGTGGCCAGGGGAAAGGTGGGCCCTGTGTTCCAGCATCGCCTGCTGCTCCGTGGCTCCTCGTAGCTGTCACTCACTCCTCTCCCGCTGGCCCAGCTCCAAGCATCCTGCCTGTCAGCAGGGACTTGTCCAAAAACATTGTTGAAAGAGGAGGACTGTATTTTTTCTTTTTTTAGGTTAGCTGTGTTAACTCTTTAGTTAGTGTCCCTGGAAGGGCTTTGCTTTGTTTTTTGTGTGTGGGTTTTTTTTGTGTTTTTTGTTTTGTTTTTTAGCAAAACTGATTCCTTTATTTTCATGGTTTAAATGAGACGTGTTATTTCATCTCCACCACCAGCTTCCCTGACAGTGAGGCCTTGAGGAAGCATTCTGCCCCCTCCCACACTCGGCCCCTCAGACAGGAGTCTCCACTGTCTGACGTACACAGTTTCATCTGCTGCTGGCAGGCCTCTGAGGGTGGGGGGTTTGCGGAATAATCTCTCCTGTTGGTAGGAATTAGCTTGCTTCAGTTTCCGTAGCATCTTTAAGTAAAAAACAAACTAAACTAAAATTGAATTGGTTCCTAGATGAACTTCACTGACTCTTTGAGACGCTGCAGAATGAATCCCACGTCGGTCACCACACATAAATGACCACCATGAGCAAAAGGCTGAGCTAATGCAGTGGAGGGAGGAGGGTGAGATAGAAGTTCCCTGCTTTTAAGGGCTTTATTTAGTCTAGCAGTTGGCTAAGCCATTTGAGAGAAAAAAAGTAACAGAACAGGCATTGGTTGATTCGAGGCCTGGTGAGCGATCACGCTGGCAGCAGCGAAGCCGAGACCACTGGGTTAGACGGCTCTGTGGAGCCAGTGCCCACCACCCCAGGGCCTTCAAGGACAGACCCAGCACTGGAGGCCAAGTGCAAGTTTAAGGAAGAGTGGGGTGGACAGAAAGAAGCCGGTTACCTTGAGCAGACCCATGTGGTCTGCCCTTAAGGGGCACGGCGTGGTGGGCTAGCAGGTGCGCACCACGTCTTCTCGGCGCCGAGCCGGGCCCTGGAACCCGGGACCACCGCACAGCGAAGCACTCAGCGCCCTGCCCCGCACAGGGGCCTGCCCGACTGGGGCCGAGAGAGGCAGGAACACAGCCAGCTTTGCTTGTTGGCACCTTGGTGCTGGGCTAAGCAAGGGACACCTTATCTCTGCCAGGCTGTGTGCCAGGGGGTCTCCCTCCAAACAGAGAGGCCCCACTTGATTGTGGGGGTGGGATGGCTCTTGCTAAGGGCATACAAGTTCTGCCTGGGACAGCGGCGGCTCTGCCTCCGAGTCTTAGTCTGACCCGGCCTGAAATGCAGCAAATACTTGAATAGCAGCTGAGAGGCATTGTTGAAGTTCCACACACACTCGTCGCCCTACTTCAGGAGGGACTCTCTGTGGGTGTCTGCCTGGTGCTGCTGAGGGAAGGCTGCTGTGTGTGCCGTGGGGAGAGGGGGAAGGCAGAGATGGACTTGAAGGCCCCTTAGCAGGTCTAAGATTCTTTGAAACTTGATGCTGAATTTAAGCAAAGTCTTAAATTTTTGTTTTCCTATTACTATGTCAAGGCTTTCCACGTCCCTCTTTGTCACGTAATGCAGTTTGCTTATGGACGGAGCCCCTTTCTAAGAGTTCTAACACTATTGTCTATGTCTAGGGGTTATGCATATGTTCTTTGGCTAATCCCTGCACCTTCTTTCATCCAGTCCCCTCAGCCCCCCTCCCCTCGGACAGCCGTCAGTCAGTCAGTTCCGTGTAGTCATGCTTCCGTTTCTATTTTGACAGGAGAGGAGTGAGTGACAGTTCTAAGTGCTTTGAAAAGAGCTGATGAAGTAGGGGGCTGGGCCTTCGCCCCGCATAGGTATGTGTTTAGGAGAAGAGAAGGGCCAACTACAAAATGGGAGCATCAGCCCTCCGTAGGCATTAGTCACAGCTACCTTGCCAGAGACACGTGACCTTGATTTTGACACCACAATGGAATTTTCACGAGCGGTAAAATGCGGTAAACCGGCAACCACGAAGCTTAACCTAACCAGTAACACCTCCTGCCTGCTTGCTCATTGGCAGGTGAAGATGCCCGAAGAGGTGCTAAGTCAGGATTAAAATTAGCCAAGCTGCCCTAGCAGTGCGATGTTCATGTGCCTTCCCTCACACTCGCTCGGCCACCATGGGGCTCTCACATTCTCAGAAGTATGTTCTGTGAGTTCTTTGCTGTGCAGTCTCTCTCACCTGTGTGCAGGCTGACACCCATGAATAACACCTGTATTCTCCCTCCCCCGGTTCCTGCCTCTCGCCTTCCCACGCTGGAAATGGTGTCTTCTGTTCCTGAGGTTGAGGGGCCACCCCCGTGCCCAGCGCACTGGTTGACCTCCATCCACAGTATCTCGGTGTGCGGACCCTCTTGCCTGACTTTCCTCTCTAGTCCCTCTTCGCCAAGGTCAAACCTAGTCTTCCAAAACCCTATTGATCAGGATTATATACCACCGGTGTCCCAGACTCTGGGTCAGTGTAAACATCAGTCAGATTCCCAGTCCACCCTGGAGCTCTTGCACTGAAGCGCTAATAAGGGGGCCAGATGGGTAGATCGGTGGCTGAAGGGGTAGGGAGATGGATGCATGGGAGAGAGACAGAGAACACCCATGTACACGAAGGCCCACAAGATGGGCAGACCTGAGTTTGAATCCCAACTCAAGACAAATGCCAGTTCTGCAAACTTGGGTGAGATGATTCCACCTCTGCCACCTGGGGAAATAGGCCCTCCTGGCCTGGGTGGGTGGCTGTGCACACAGCTGAGAGACTGCCACTTGCCCAAGAGGTGCTTGCTTCACTAACAACAACCCCAAGTGGGGCCCAGGAAAACAGAAGGTGATTAAGTGACACAAGCCGGGCAAACAAAGGGCCCTGGGCTTTCCCGGCAGGAAGGCTCACACCTGGCTGAGGCTGGCAGTGCGTGTGCGCAGGGCAGGGGCCCTCCCAGCCTCCGGGTGATCTGCAGTCTGCGCGGCGGGCAGGGCAGGGCCGGGCCGGGCGGGAGCAGACCTGGGCGGCAGCGTGTCCTCGCCGAGCCTGCTGTTTGCCTGCTGAAGCAGGCTTACAATGGAGGTTTGGAAAGGGTGCAGCCGCCCAGGTTGACCTCAGCCTGTGTGTTGGTGGGGACGGAAGAGCCTTCCGCCCTCCAGAAAAAGCGAGGTGACTTCACCATCTCCCCCCCGCCCTCCCCCACGCTGGATGCCTAAGGTGAAGCGTTTTTCCATCTTCTCCAGCTCCGAGGCTGAGAATGGCGTGGAGGAGAAGAAGAAGGTCTGCAGGTCGCCTACAGCCCAGTCGCCTCCCACCCCATCCAGCGAGGCGGAGTCCCCAGACCCGAAGAGAGCCATCTACCTGCGGTGAGTCCTCAGTCCCCCTTGCTCCTCCTGCCCTTTGGGGCGGAGGGGCTGGTGATTCTGGCGTTAGGGTGGTGGTTCAGAGTGCCTGAGGGTTGTCCACGGGCAGATAACTCCCCTGAGGAAGTAGCGGGTGTTTTTCCTTGACATCCCGGCGCTAGTGCTGGCCTTCTTGCTCATCTCTCCCGAGAAGCTCTTTTCTCCTCCCCACCCAGCCTGCTGCAGGGTCTGCCCTTTCGGTAAAGCAGTGGCTTTGCCGACTGGTAAAGCCGGGGCTCCCCTCCTTCCGCGTTAGATTCTTATAGATTCTTAAAGCACCCGGGGAGGCCCGCCTGGGCTGGATGTCTGCTCAGCCTCGGGGTGTGCACACCTGCCGTCTCCCTCTCCTGGCAGCCACAAGCAAGAGTGGAGGGGAACCCCACTGGGAGCCCCTGGGCCGGCTGGACAGGCTGGGATCACACTTGGATGGGGGACCAGCCGTTTTGAGATGTGGAACTGTGGTCCCCATCCGTCTCAGAGGCACCAGTGTGTGCTTTCCCTCACATGGGAGGCAGGATGCGAACGTGGCTTTTGGGCCCTGCAAAGAGAAGGTGACGCCGGTGGTCACGTACGATTGGTGTGGCCCTGGGTCGAGCAGCCGCTCTCCTCCGGCTGTGAGGTCCGTCAGCACGGCCACCTGCTGCGTCCTCTGGCCCCTTCGAGAGGACAGGGAAATGACGGCTGCTTTCCCTTTGCTCCCGGCTGCCCAGCCCACGCCTTCTCTCCACCTCCGTCCTTCATGCAGGACCCTGTGTTACGTCTCCGTTCTGGCCCGGGGTCCCTGGTCACCATTGGCCCCCTGGCCAGCTGTGCTGCGTGCCTGGCCTCCCCTCTCCCTTCGCCCCTGTTTGCTGTAGCCATTTCCTGTCGGTGCCTCCTGGGTCCCTCGCCAGATGAGTCCATTCCTCCGCGCGGCACGGAGCATGTTGTTTCCTGTGTCTCTCGCCGTGTTGGCTGGCTGCGGCATGCTCGTTGGAAGCACCGCTGGTTTAACTCCAACCTCCCCAGGCTTTCGATGGAGAGAGCCATCCTCCTGGCCAGGGCAGGCCGGTTCAGCTGCACAGGGCGTGTGCTCCCTCCCCAAGGTGCCGCCATCCCAGCGCTGGGTTTCAGGCTCAGCTCTCGCTGCCTGGAAATTCTTGGGTTTTGCATTAAGGAGCCCCGCAGTTGCATGTTGCGCTGCTCTTGCTCAGAGTCACTCATGGGAGGTGAGAATAACAGGGTTGAGGAGACCAAAGCAATGCTGTGTGAACATGCGCCCTTCCCCCACACGATGGGGGAGACGGGCCAGAGATGGGTGCTCTGTGTGGACAGGCCCCTTCTGCTCTTCCTCGTGACAGTTGTCAAGGGTTCAGCTGTCCTGCTTGTCACATGGGCTTCCCAACCATGGTTCTTCAGCAGGTCTGCCCACGCCCTTGACCACTCCATTAACACTTATTCATCCAAATCAGCAGAACTGAGAAATTCAAATTTGAAAAAAAAATCAATTTTCAAGTACAATACAAATGTTTACTCATCTTTTTTTTTTTTTTTTTAAGTATAATCCCTAGAATTCTAAGGAAATTTCGAACTGTGAATAGGCTCAGTGTTCATGTCCCTTGAATGGCTGAGAGGTATCTTGCCTGTGGTTTGAGCATCACAGATTCAAATCGAGTCTGGCAGGGGCCTGGGACATCACATAGTCCGTCTTCCCACAGCTGAGAAAGCCGGAGCCTAACGTCCCTCTGCCACACCCATGTGCCACTCAGGTTGCTTAAAATTCTTCTTAAATCGGCTCTGAACCAAAAATTGTTAGCTGTGCTGCATTCCAAGGAATCATATTGTGAAATCATGAATTTCATGGGCCATTTCCTACCCCCCCCCCCAATAAACAGAAAAACTGCATAATCCTATCATAAAACTTGTTCATATGTATATATCCACAAACCTCTAAAAATCGCCTGTGCACCCACTCTGAGATGACTGTGTTGAGCTGTGGGCTGAAGCCATGTGTAGTCACACATGTACCGAATGGAGAGCCTTGACTAGGACTACCTTCGGAAGGGATCCTGTTCTTTTGTGTCCTACTTTCACTCCGACTGTGTTCCCACTCGGGGATGTGTAGTCTCTTTTCCTCACACCCAAATCCCGCGATCCCATTAGCACCGCGCATTTAAGCCCACCTTGTTCTGTTGGTCTCCTCTTCTCTCTCCTCCTGCTAGACTCATTGTCCCTCTCCCTCTTCCTCACGCCTTGGATATTACTGTTTTGGTGCTAAATCGTGTACTGCCCTGCTAAGAAGTTTTGTTTTTAATCTGTTTTCATTTTCTATGGGGGCAAAATTGACGTATAACATTATATTAGTTTCGGGTGTACCACATGATTCAGTATTTGCATACATTGTGAAATGCTCGCCTCAGTAAGTCTGGTTGACATCTGTCCTCATGCATAGCTATGTGTTTTGTTTTTTCTTGCGATGAGGACTTAGGTGTGTGATTGCGCACGGCTCCTTAAGGATAAAGACTGCCTTGTGTGTCCCAGGCATTTCACACAATGCCCCACTTAATCGACACCTGTTAAATATTAATAGATTTCTGACACAAAAATGTTTTTGATTGAACTATAGCTCTGCAATTTTGTTTAATGATCTGCCCCCTGGACTCCTTATACTGATTAAAATACTTTTGAGGTGATACAGTTATTTTCGCAATTGGGTGGTTATGTTCTACAAATGGCCATGTCTTCAGTCTGAGATTCCAGTCTGCTGAAGCCATCCCAGCCCTACAGCATCTGCTCTGTAAACCCGGGAGAGGATAGCACGCGGGTGCTGACAGCCAGAAGGGAAAGGCGAGCGGCAGGTCTTCCTGTGAGACGGGATCATAATCAAGATGTATGACAGTGAAATGAATGAGCAGCATAAAAAATTCATTCCATAGTCTCCCTGGGTTTTCTTTCCTCAGGTCAAAATCCAGTTTCGATGGTGTCTCTTTAGCGAGTGATAAGAACGACTGCAAAACAGAAAGCAAAAATGACTCTAAGCTTGAGAGGAAAAAGTCTTCGTCTTCCAGCCAGGTAAGCGGGAGGGAGACATGTGTTGTTTCCAGGGCGACAGGCATGAAGCCAATGGGAAGAAAGAGCCCACGCAGGCAGCTTCCCGTTGGCAGGACCTCATGGGTATTGGTTGTAGAGAATTTAGGAGGACAGACCACAGATCCTTTGTCGATTTTTCATCAATATCATAATTTACAGCTGACCTTTCAACGCATATTGAGTGGTACTGACAGGGGTCCACAGGCACCCCCAGCCAGGACCGGTGCTTGTCTCATAATTGGCCAAGACTGGGAGAGGTGTGACATCCTTGCATTAAAATGAAGGAGTATGGGGGCAGAGGCCACTCAGCTGCACACAGAGGAGACCTGTGGGCAGGGTCATGACTTGCTTCTGCTCTAAAATATACCCAGACAGGCATCGAGGCCCAGTTCTGCGCCATAAAGTGTGACCGACTTACTGGGCCAACAGTGGGGTTTTTGACACTTCGTCCCTAAATACTTGAATATGTATCTCCTAAGAACTATTACAAAGAAATTTAACTAAATAGTAAGTGGGGAAATATATATTATTAATGTGAGATCCATTTTCAGAGCTCCACGATCATCCCAGTAGTGAACACTTTTTATAAAGGCTTTTCTGTTTCCCCTCTCACACATCCACTCAAAAGCCGGGTATTGCTTTTCATTTCTATCAGTCCCACTACCCTTTTTTAAAAAAAAAAACAACCTCTTATAACAATGATATGTTTGAAGAGTCTGTGGCCTGGAATATTTTTAAAACAAGTAGCGCTCACTGTAGACACTAAAAACAAAATCTCAGTAAAGCCCTCTTGCACACGTGGCTTTAATCAGGTAACTTCCTGGATGCTGGAGTACTCCTAGGAGGCAGTGTGAAGTTATCTATTATATGAGATATTTAAATATAAAACTAGAGGCCTTGTGCACAACATTTGGTGAATCCCTCAGCCCAGCCTGCACAATCTCCAATCTGGGACCCCTCAGGGGATGTCCAACTCGCAATCTGGGACCACTGGCTCCTAACCACTTTCCTGCCTGCCTGCCTGATTGCCCCTAACCCCTCTGCCTCAGCCCCCTCCTCCGTGGCTTTGTTTTGAAGGAGGACAAGACAACTGGAAGATATCCAGTTAACATATCCGATTTAATTAGCATATTACCCTTTTATTATTATAGGTTATTAGTACAGATAGTAACTTGTGGGGACTATCAGTCATCTGCACGGCCTGTCTGAAGTTCTTCTTGACAGCAATACTAGGGCCACTTATGCCATTGGGATCACACCTAGTTTGGATAATAAGACATCAAGGATCTGTTTTGCTCCTAAGAGTTTCCCAGGGAAAGCATCTGTTAGGCAGAGTGGTGGTTGGAAGGAGGACTCAGCTCTGCGCCTGAGAGCTGTTTCCAGTTAGCCTGGTGTCTCTGGGGCACAGTGTCCCGACCCGGGTGTCAATTCCTGGGCTATCCTGGGGTGGATTGTGAAAGCATTTTGCAAAGCGTGACACTTGGCTTGTACATTGTTGTCAGAGTTGTAGAAATAGATGCCTTGAAAAATGAAGAGGTTTTCAACGTCTCAGACTCTTGGGCCTTCTCCCTCCCTTGACACAGACCCTACCGGTCTTGACGGTCATCTCCCTGGGACACTGGCTAAGGAACCGCCTTCACAACAATGACAGCGTTAGTGGCAATCCCAGGTAGTAGGTGCTTTAGCTGTTTTGTCCCATTTGAGCCTTAGGGCATCCCATGGAAGCAAGTCATTGCTGACCTCTGGCACGGAAGAGGATGCTGAGGCAGAGGGAGGTTAAGTGATGACTAGGCCACAACCACATACCAGAGAAGAAATGTGGCCAAGACTTGACCTCGGGTGGATGTGACTACAGAGTTTTTAACCCCTGTCCTCTCCTGAGACTACTCACCTGTAGCCTTAGTGCCCTGGGACCTACTACCTTCCCTGGTGAGATTCCTTAGCATCCCTCTCCTTTCTTTTTTTTTTAATATATATTTTTATTGATTCTTTACAGAGTGGAAGAGAAAGGGATAGAGAGCTAGAAACATCGATGAAAGAGAATCATCGATCAGCTGCCTCTTGCACACCCTCTACTGGGGATGTGCCCGCAACCAAGGTACATGCCCTTGACCGGAATCGAACCTGAGACCTTTCAGTCCTCAGGCCGACGCTCTATCCACTGAGCCAAACCGGTTTCGGCATCCCTCTCCTTTCTTACACGGGACATCCTTATCCAGCACCTGGGGAAGGCTGACCACCCGCTGCATCCTGGTTATCCTGTATATGCAACCAGCAGGTCTCTGGTCTTGTTGGCAGAGGAACCCTTGGTGCCCTGCCTTTCGCTGAAGGGTTGTGTTGGAGACTGTAAGATCAGAGAGAGGGAATTCATGAAGATGCTGGAATAAGGGAGAGAAGGTATATTGTGTCATTTGAATTGAAGTTAAAATGTATGATGTTCCACAAAAAAGCTGAGAGCGGCCATGTCTCTGTTTTGTTCCCTCTGTAGTACAAGGCGAATTTACACTTCCACAAGCTGTTCCTCGAAGTCCCGACTGAAGAACCACTGAGGCAGAGTAAGTTCTGACCCGTTTGGCTTGTTAAGCGCCATAGAGTTGAAAAGATGCTCATTGGTTTGGGAGGCGGAAGAGGGCTCGGGGGCTGAATCTCCAAGGAGTGGTTTCTGAAAGTTATGAGGCGGCCTCAGCGCCAGCTTCCTGCAGCTCTCACCGGGGCTCTTGAAAGACGAACAGAATGGGAACCTGAGCCTCCCGACCTGATTCGGAGTCAATCCAAGATGATCCCAGGATGACATCTTCGCCTCCCATAGCTGCATTGTGTTTGCATTGTCCTGAGATTAGGATCACAAGCCTGGAGCAAGACAGGCCACCAAAAGAAGGCTAAAAGGACACATAGACCTGTGTGGACAGACATGTGCTGACTCACTGCTGGGGCTCACCAGGGCTCCATTCCAGCCCCACCATGTACAGCGCTAAGACGAGATGCTGGTTCCAGCAGGAAGGCGTGGGCCCTGTGCTGTAGCAGCAGTGGGGCCATCTATCTCAGAGGGCGTCACTGGTGACAGTCCTAGGTCAGGAGGCAGGAGTGCTGAGCACACAGGGACACGCCGTCCTCCTGAAACATCATTCCTGACCATCATTTCAGTGACAGGCTTGCCTTTCCGGTTTGATTTTCGTGCTAAAATGTGTAAAACTTTGAATGAAAAAAAAAAAAAAAAAAGCAAACCCTCATCTCTATACGTTTACCCCCAGGGAAGGTGACTGAAAGGAGATGATAGATGTTGTGAGCATGGGAGTGGGTTGTCTCTGCCCATCCCTGAGTCACCAGCCATCTGTACAGAATTCGCGTCCTCAATGTACATTCCTCACGATGTAACACGTGTGTGTCTTTCCTCAGGCTTTACCTGTGCTCTGCAGAAAGAAATTTTATACCAAGGGAAGCTCTTCGTATCAGAAAACTGGATTTGCTTTCATTCCAAGGTCTTTGGGAAAGACACTAAGGTTGGTATCGTTTTTCAGAAAGGAAGCTAACCCTGTGGCTATGACTTACTTTCGGTGTAGCAATAGTTGTAAGTATTGCGCCATGATTATACCCTTAATGGTGGTTCCACCGATGACAGGTTCTGTGTGACAGGTCCTCAATGCCGACACCTCCCTCTCTCCCACATTCCTGCCCTCAATCCTTCGTACCCGGCTGGTGTCCTTAGAGAACACGTTACTCCTATGAAAAGTGTTCCACAATCAGTTTTAAGGATGTATACATTAAACAAACAATTTTTTTAAATATATTTTATTGATTTTGTACAGAGAGGAAGGGAGAGAGATAGAGAGTTGGAAACATCGATGAGCAAGTCATCAATCAGCTGCCTCTTGCCCCTACTGGGGATATGCCCGCAACCAAGGTATGTGCCCTTGACCGGAATCGAACCCGGGTCCCTTCAGTCCCCAAGCCGACGCTCTATCCATTGAGCCAAACCGGTTTTGGCTAAACAAACAATTTTTTAAAGAAATACTGGTTTTGCTCTGTATTCATACGAGTTAGCCATCTAGAAAAAGCTACTTTCAGAATTCACTTTGCACTGTTGCCAGCCCAGAAGGAGCAGGAATTGCAGCATTTTGACTGACTCTGAGAGTCATATACCCACAATCCCCAGGGGGTGCTGACTGACACGTTGGCATCCCCATTGAGTACAGAGCTGGAGGAGCAGAGGCCCGGGACACACTGAGCCGCTAAGGAGAACAGCCTGAAGGAGTTGGCCGCTTCCCAAGCCACCGCCTTCTCCAACCAGGACCTTGGGGCTGTGGCATCAGAAGGGAAGAGAATTCCATGCCGTGGACGTGTTTGCCCTTTGAACTGTGCTGTCACACTCAGGCCAGCCCAATAAGGAGCCAGGGAAACGCCGTGCTGGGTGTGCGTGACCACAGCGAGGTTTCAGGCATTCTGATTTGGGATCATGAGTAAGCAGCTTTTATATCCATGAAGTAGCTGATTAAAACTTCTTTTTAAGTGGCAGGTATGTTTTATTTAAGAATTCTCCCTCAAAGCCACGGGAAGTCTTCTAGCTAAAGACCACTTAACAAATATAATGGAATTTCTTTAGTTTGCTGGTGTTGAGTCAGCAAACTAGCATGCTGTTATTAGTTCAGATGTTATTTTTGTATTGCTCCTTTACTACACAGAGTTGTTTTAGATGCACAGTAGTGTCTGAATCATTATAATGGGAAGCGATAGGAAGTAGTATGCCACCCTGTTTCTAAGAGTTCTGGAGAACTTGTTCATGGAGTGGGGCCGGGGGTGGGGCTGAGCACATTGCAGCTGAAGGTGGTGAGATGGCTGTGGGGAATGCAGGGAGAGCCACCATCGCCCCGAAGCAGCGGGGAGTGAAGACATTGGTGAGGAAAGTCTAGTGGTCCTTTGTGAAGGATAGGGGAACTCACAAAGCCAGCATTGCAGTCTCAAACGAATATGATTCTGCCAATGGTTTCAAAATCCTGCTTCCACCTGTGCGACAACTGATCAAAGAAAAGGTGAAAGGAGTGACCCTGTTTTTAAAGACTTGCCACGCTGGGGTTACTCTTGCATGTGCTGTATCTAAGAGGCAGGAGGTTGAAAATCAGCCGTGCGGGGGCACAGAACCGTGACAGTGACGTGTACGTTTCTCCCCGGGAAGGATGGGGTCAAGGAGACGGGGTTCCGCTCCATGGTGGAATGGCCTCCCTGCCAGCAGGCCTGGCTCCAACACCATCCCGCGTGAACTAAAGGCAACCATGATTTTTCTCTAGGAAGAGGACTTTTCTAAACACCCTTCCCTGGAAAAAAAATATTGATAAAGTGTAGTCTTCATTTCATCAGGACCTCTTAGCCCACTGGTATTTTCCGATGCTTGTAAAATCGAATGTGTGTATCACATTCTACCTAGGCTCGAACCGAAAGGCTTTCATTTTATACTCATGAAGCAACTGATTGAAAACTCCTTCGTAAGGGTGTTGTTCCATGCCTTATAGATCAGTGGTCAGCAAATGCATTAGTCAACAGAGCCAAATTATCAACAGTACGACGATTGAAATTTCTTTTGAGAGCCAAATTTTTTAAACAACTTTTTCTAATGCCACTTCTTCAAAATAGAGTCACCCAGGCCGTGGTATTTTGTGGAAGAGCCACATTCAAGGGGCCAAAGAGCCGCATGTGGCTCGCGAGCCGCAGTTTGCCGACCACGGCCTTAGATGATGAAAAGAAATCCAAAGTGATAGCCCCTCAGCGATGCTCAGAAACGAAATTAGGCTCATTTTCACATCGCCATCTGTCTGAGTAGATCTTGACACCTTTTTTCCAAAGTCATCCCAACCTGTAACTGGAGGGACAGTAAAACACTTCCACCCCAATGTGACTGCAATATTCGACATCAAAAGCGTGGCTTTTTCCTCCCTTTAAACTGCCAGCATTAACGTAGGAACTCCTCTTCCCCACGGACCTTGTCAATCTCTTTCAGAATACATAAAGCATTTTTGCTAACTATATGTTCAAGTGAGTGGGTGCACCCAGAGAGAGATTCAGGTCGTATTCTTTTTACCATGGGGATGTGTGTGAGACTCTGTTCTCAGGGATCAAAGTGACGTGACCCCTGAAAACCAAATGGAGTTGAAGGGATACAGGTATAACAGGAAAGTATCAGGAGCATCGACTGTCCTCTGTGGCATCGGATACATTCTTGTAGCATATTGTACGGAAAAAGAACTACACTTAGGATAAGATTTGTGCAGATTCTGTCTTGGTAATTTATTACATTTAGGTCCTCAAGCAAGTCACATGCCTCGCTACACAAATGTCCTTCTCTCTTAGAATATCTGCTTCCCAGGAAGGTCCTAACTAAGTGGCATTCTCATCTGTAAATAGGTGTCAATCGTAGCTGCTGCAATTGATATTGTTACTCATTGTGGTTTGAACCAGAACTTAGAGTTCTTCCACTTCACCCGTCCTCCTTACATGAGGCAAGTGAGGAAATGAAGGACAGTGTCATTGCGTGCTAGGCACTTTCCCGATACGTTATCTCATTTAATCTACAGAAAATCCTGGGAAGTCGATAAAACTGACCTCATTTTACAGGTCAGGAAACTGAGGTCTGGAAAGGAGAACTCGTCAAGTAGAGGAGGTCATGCAAACCGTAACGGAACCGAGCTGAGAGTTCAAAGTCCAGGTTTTCTGTCCAGTAATGGTTCTATCACACCAGTGCTTTTCAACATTTAGCCACCCACAGGTGCCTGAGCCAGAGGGGAGATTACCCTGCAAAAGTTACCTTCTTTAGAGCCTAGGGCTAATCGTTAACGTGAAGGTACATTTGCGTTCTGGTCCCAAGTCTAAAGATAAAGGTTTCCCAGGAAGCTGTTCTGCAGGACTGATGATCCCGATTTGTTCTCTGGCTTTGCCTTAACAACAGCGTAAGGAGATCAGAGACACACCCAGGCCACTCATTAAGATGGACTTTTCATGGATCCCAGAGAGCCTGCTGCTGGTTTGTTTTTTTCCTTTAACAGGAAAACTTCAAGTGTTGTTCTGTGACGTCCTAACCAGCATGTTAATGCAGGGCTTCTGTTTCAGATCTCTATTCCTGCTTTCTCCGTCACCCTGATAAAGAAAACCAAAACTGCCCTTCTGGTGCCAAATGCCCTGATTATAACGACGGTCACAGACAGGGTGAGTATGCCCCAGAGCATGGATCATAAACATCATTCTCTCTCACAGGGAATCACCAAGTATATGTAAGACTGGTTTGTAAAACCCTAGCCTTTAGACATTCCTGTAGTGTTGCTTCCCCTCACAAGATGATTTTCTTCTAATATAATTGTTGCCAATTTTTAATTTCCCGTTGACTTAATTATATTTGCTTGACCAAGGTCAAAAAAATAAAATTTCTTCCCAACTTCCCTTTCCCTAACATCCGTTAGGTCAGTCTAAATCGATGTTCAGTGTCTTTAACTTGATTTAAAACAACAACCATCACCACCTTGTTGACCTGGTGGGGCAGTGACTCTGAGGAGTCCCTGCAGTGGGGGTGGCCAGCCGCCCCATAACCTCAGCTGGGATCTCTCCAAAGGCATCCCAAATGCCTAAAACTTGTGCTTGTTATGTGCACGCAAATTCAGACCAGTTCCTGACCCCTCTTGGCTTCCAGGCTGCCTTACCTATCCCACTTTTTTTATTAAATAGTAGAGGCCCCGGTGCATGACATTCATGCACTTGGGGTTGTAGGGGTGTCTTGTCTGCACCCTCTTGCAGTCCGGGACCCCTTAGGGAGCAGGCCTAAGCCAGCAGGTGGACATCCCCCAAGGGGTCCTTAGCACTGCTGCAGAGGCAGGAGAGGCCCCCACCAGCACTGCTGTGCTCCCCCGTCATGAACCCGGCTTCTGGCTGAGCAGCACTCCCCTATGGGAGTGCACTGACTACCAGGAGGCAGCCCCTGCATCAAGCATCTACCCCCTACTGGTCAGTGCACATCATAACGACGGCCGGGCACTTGTTTTCAGGCTCCTGCCCTGCCGCTGAGTCATCTCTGTGGCCCAGTAGCTGCTCACTCGACGTCATTCTATCATTCGGTCTATTTGCATATTAGCCTTTTATTATATAGGATACTTCCATTGATTTCAGAGATGAAGGGAGAGGGGGAGAGAGATAGAAACCCCAATGAGACAGAATCATTGATCGGCTGCCCCCTCCACACCCCCTACTGGATCTCGAGTCCACCAGGTGCCTCCCGTCAACACTCAGCCACTTAGCCACACGGGTTGGGCTCTGTCCCACTCTGTACAGGAATTCTCAAGCTGTTGTTGACTGTTGTGATGCCAAAGTCATGTGCAATCAGAAATATCTGCACTGAGAGGTGTTTATTTCAACTTGGGGAGAGAGAGAGAGGGAATGGAATATTTTGGTTACCCATATTTTACTTGAGATTATTTTTTAATATTTTGCCTACTATTTCTATGAAAGCACAAAAGTCACATTCCATTTGTGACCACACTGGATAGTTGAAGAGGGAAAGATGAGCTAGGAAATATGTTAATACCTATTTGGGGGGGGGGGGGAAATATTTAGATAAACTATGCTAATAAGCATTAAGTATTCCTTGCCAGGCATATGCTAAATACTTTCTTTATGTTTTCCCATTTAGTCTACCCTACTTCCTTCTTGGAGGTAGACATGATTGTAAGAAAACTGAAGCTAAGAGGGCCTAAGTAAGAAGTTTGCCCAATGTGGCCTATTCCATGTCAGAGCCAGAATTTGCAACTGGGTCTGTCTAATGCCAGAACCTATAATGTTAGCTACTTGGGGCTATAATACTGTATTATATTATACTAGAGGCCTGGTGCACGGATCTGTGCACATTGAAAGGAAATTAATTAGAAAGTGGCTGGTGGGTGGGTTTGGGCGAGACGGGCCAGTCATGCCCTGGAGACAACTTCCTATGGTCCCTCCATAGCCAGCCGCACCGGGGGCAGCACCAGGGTTCAAAGGGCATCTGCGGAGTGAGTGGGGTCCCTCAGCCTGGCCTGTGGAGATCAGGCCGAAACCAGCAGTCTGACACCCCCAGGGCTCCCGGAGTGCGAGAGGGCACTCTGCAAAGTTGCTGTCTCTCGGCAGCTCCTGCGTTGAGCATCTGCCCCCTGGTGGTCAGTGCACATCATACCTACTGGCCAGTTGGCCCGTCGCTTGGACATTTATATATATAGATTATATTGGGAATTGAATCAGTTTATTTTCATGGATGAATGAGAGGGGTAATCACAAAATTTTGAAAGTGAGTCTGGAAAGATTCCATGGCTCAAATACATGGAGAAAGAGTGAGTTTTAATTATTTTTCTCAACACACTGTTTAGGGTAAAATCATTTTTCCTTATGTCACTGGTCTCCAAATGACTTGTCTGGCTCTGATTTTACTTCTTTCCCATAACTCACTTATAAGCACCCTCTGCAGGAATCTCCATATTTGTACAAGGAAGGATCGGGAAGTGGCTTGAAAAAGAACCAGCCTATTAGAGCCCCTGGGAAATTTTCAGTGGAAAGCGAGGTCAGCGCAGAAAAAGCAGACCCTCAGGAATTGCTAGATACCTAAACAAACAAACAAAAAACAACAACAAAAAAGGAGGTGGAGAGGGTCTAGTAAACATCACTAGCCTTTTTTTAATGCCCAGATCTTTTCCTCCAGTGCTGATTTGGGCACCTTTCTCGGGATAGCGGAGTCTTCATTTTTCTCTGTTTGTCCATGATTTCAATTGAGTTTGAGGGTTTTGTTGCTATTGTTGGGGAGTACATTTCCTTTAGTGCAGGAGTGAAATAAGAACGGAATGTTTGGGTGAGCAGAAGGAGGGTATGAACCAGAGAACGAAAAAATATATATACATCTACAAAGAAATGTTTGAATTCTGAATACTCGTTTCTCATCAGGCAGTGTCTGTTACTAATTACTATGTTGTTGTTGTTTTCCAGTACATATTTGTCTCCCTCCTCTCCAGAGATTCCACTTATAAGCTACTCAAATCCGTGTGCGGACACTTAGATGTGAGTACGTTGCCGAGCCCCAGTGACTTGTCTGTCTCCCGTGTTTCTCACGGTTCCGTAGCTAACCCGGTGTTTCCTTTTGTCTCATTCGCTGCAGAATATAAGTGTGGGTAACAGTCCCAACCCGTCTTCTCTCGAAAACAGTTTCCGGGCAGACCGCTTCCGGGCAGACCGCCCTTCGTCGCTGCCTCTGGTGAGTCGCCTGCGTGCTGTCTACACGCAAAAGAAAGGGAGTACGTGGTGCCACTGCACGCCCCTTCCGCCATGACCGGGTGCAGGAGGAACTTAGGACCGTGAGAGTTGAGGCAAACTGAAGAAACAGGGCATGTGTGTCCTGAAGAAGGGGGTGGCCATAGGGGGTCATAAACTTTTTTCAAGGAATCGAAGGGCTGTCCTGCAAGGGAAGAGACACCCGGTAGTGGGCTGCCTTGGGATGACTGGTCACCAGAGATACTCATAAAGCCTTGCTGCGTTGGCTTGTGAGCGTTGTTTTAGAGAAGATTCACCCATCTATTTGGGGTGGGGCGTGATTCATCCCACAAACAGTTGGATGTCTTCTGTGTTGAAGGTTCCGTGCTAGGACATGCTTTCAGGACATCAGGAAAAAAATCGAGACTACTTCTTGCCTTCAAAGACTTGACAGCTTAATGGAGATGATGAGTAATAACTAAAAAAAGAAAAAGCTATAGCCCTAGCCAGTTTGGCTCAGTGGATAGAGCCTAGGCCTGCAGACTGAAGGGTCCCGGGTTCGATTCTGGTCAAAGGTACATGCTTAGGTTGCAGGCCTGATCCCCAGTTGGGAGTATGCAGGAGGCAGCCGATCAATGATACCTTCTCATCATTGATGTTTCTACCTCTCTCTGTCTCTCCCTTTCTCTCTGAAATCAATAAAGAAAGCTGTAATGCCCAAGTGAAAGGTAGAGATTCTTGGGTTCCTTTAGACTTTGTTGACTGTCGAGTAAATCTCCTGTGGGGAGTAAGTCCCCCCATTTGTACACAATATAGAACTGTGATGATGTAAGCTGGCCCAGGAGAGTCCTAGCCATATAATTCAATTAATTATTCCCAAATTGATTATTGTTAAATGTTGAAATACCTTTGGTGGAATGGTATAAGCCCACGATTTCAAGATCTACAAATCTTTTTTTTTTTTTAGAGCTATTCAAAAAGTAGTGGGATTGGAAATATATCCACACAAAAACTTGAACAAGAATGATCATAACTATCTATATGTATGAAAGCGTAAGCAACCATCTGACCATTCGACCGTTCACCTGGTAGCTATGACATGCAATGACCTCTAGGGGGGCAGACGCTCTGACTAGTAGAGGAGGGAGCCTGATTCCTCATGAAATCAGCCCTGGGTTGGGTTGCTTCTGGGGCACTGTTGGCCCCAAAACTGCTTCACCCGCATCCCAGACCCAGAGAGGAGGGAGCCCGATTCCGGGTGCATCACCCGAGAACCACCCCCTCACAATACAGGACCCCCGGAGGATGTCAGAGAGCTGGTTTGGGCCCGATCCCCACAGGCCAGGCTGAGGGACCCCACCGGTGCCCGAATCCATCACCAGCCATCTAGTTATTTATAATACCAAAAAAGTGGAAATAAACCTAATGCCCACTGACTGATGAATAGATAAACAAAATGTAATCTATCCACACAATGGAATATTCTTTTCCTAAAAAGGAATGGTGAATTACTGTTACACACTACAACGTGGATGATCCTTGAAAACATGCTAGGTGAAAAACAGTCAGATACAAAAGGCCACACTATTGTAGATTCCACAAAATGTTCCAAATAGGCCAATCCATATGGATGGAAAGTAGACCAGCGCTTGCCAAGGAATGCAGGAGAGGGAAGCGTTGGGAGTGACTGGGAATGGGTAAAGGTTTCTTTTTGGCAGGTGGCAGAATGTTCTGAAATACGATAGTGGTGATGGTTGCACAACATTGTGAATTTTCTAAAAATAACTGAATAGTACACTTAAAATGGTGAATTTTATCTCAAATTTTAAAAAAAACTTCTATAAAACCTTTTCTTTTTTAAAAAAAAAATATATATATATATATCCTATTGATTTTTTACAGAGAGGAAGAGAGAGGGATAGAGAGTTAGAAACATCGATGAGAGAGAATCATCGATTAGCTGCCTTTTGCACGTCCCCTACTGGGGATGTGCCCGCAACCCAGGTACATACCCTTGACCGGAATTGAACCTGGGACCTTTCAGTCCACAGATCGACACTCAATCCATTTAGCCAAACCGGTTTTGGCTATAAAACCTTTTCTAAAACCTTTAAAAAATAGTGCAAAATAGAATTTAACGCACATGACTTAGAATCCAACATCTCAAATCTGGTTCCCCCCCCGCTGAGCTATGCTCTTGGACAGGCTCTGTACCTGCCCTCCTCGGTGTCCTCACCTAGCACAATGCCAACCCCACAAAGTGGTGGTGAGGGGTAAGTGCAGTTCTATGTGGAAGGAGCTTTGCCTACTGCCTCGTACATGACAGGCATTCATGTACAGGAAAAAAAATGGAATTTTTTTCCATTTTCACTCCCTATAAAAATCTGGCATGAAATTGAAATGACCCAGACAGCTAGTTGAAGGTTAGTAACTTGCTTGCAAGACAAGTCTCTTCATTTGACAGCTGACTAGACTGTGGAGTGCTCAGCCCGCGGTGCCTTCCTCCCAGGGTGTTTCGGTGACAGCCCGGTCTCTGGTTCTGAAGCACGTGGGGGGAATGGCTGGGACCCAAAGGGAGACATTCCACGTTTCCCCACTTCTCGCCCCTTATCATCCATTACATGTAATGTTGCTGACCCTGTTTTGATTTAGTGAAGGGAAGGGGGAAAAAAGCCAAAGTTTTTCTTTCGGGGTCTAATTGCTTAAAGCCATTTGCCCTTGTCTGTTTCCAATGTTTTTTTAAACTATAATCGAAGAATGCCTTTCTCCGAGTCCGCATATTCAAGCATGCATTTAGATCTTTCTGTCTACATTTCTCTTTTGTGTACGTTACTTCCGTCACTTTCTCATCGTAAAGTGCTAAGCGCAGCTTCTGCAGCTGTTCAGTCATCAGCATTCCAGTGTTTTTCTAGACGTTTGTTGTTTCAAGCAAGTTGGCCTCTGTTGTTGATAGAATTCTAACAGCCCGGAAGAATCTGTTTCAGGAAGCAGATGCCCAGTGACCTGTTGGGAAGATCCTAGTAGTTTGGGGAAATCCTTCTTTCCTTTTCGTATTTTATAGGTCAGGCACAAGGGAAAAGGCTGGGGCCCACATAGGCCTGCCTTCTTCCGAGGGGAAATGGCCTCTCTCCATTTCATTCCTTCCCTGCAGGATTTCAACGACGAGTTCTCCGACCTGGATGGAGTGGTTCAACAGAGGAGGCAAGACCTGGGAGGCTACAGCAGCTCTGGCTCACAGACACCCGAGTCCGAGAACTCCAGAGGTCTGGAAAGTTCTGTGTCTTGACTAACTTTTCATTCTCCACAAAACATCTTCACCCCACCCCTTAAAAAACACAAAACAAAACCAACAACACAAAACACCCGTTGTCTTCCTAGTTAACAACTGGAAAGGGAATCTGGGGGAAGTTCCAGCACACGGATTTGCCTAGGGTGGTAAAATTCCATTTCCATTGATGCATATTTAATAAGTGTCCCATACATCGACATAATATTATGTTGATTGAAAGAGAGAAACATACTGTTTCCTTCCCTCTTTTAAGAATATTATCAATTGTTCCAGCTGAATCATCTCGAGTCCCTAAGGTAGAGACAGACCGTCCTTATTTTATTATTTAACTAGGGGCCCACTGCACAAATTTGTGCACCCTGAGAGGAACTGTGGGCCACAAGGCTGCAGGGGTGGGTCTTGGCTCATCCTCTGCACCCCCACCTGGCCCCTCCCATTGCTGCCCTTGTCCCTGGTCACATCTGCCAGCAACCCCACTCCCACCGCCGCTGCCACCACCACTGCCACTGCCGCTCGCACACACTGACAGTGCCGTTTCCGCTCGTACCCACTGAAGGTGCGGAATGATTGGGGCCGGCGCCAGCAGAGGGTTTGAGCAGTAGCTGTTGCCCTGATCACCCCTCAGGAGCCCAGAGACGTGGGGAAACCCTCAGGCAAGCAGAGCTGGCAGCCACCGCTTGCACCCACTGTTGATGCTGAGCGATCAGGACCGGCACCAGCAGCTGGTGCGAGTGGGCCATCACCGACAGCAGGTGCAAAGGGCAGCTGCCGGCCCCAATCTCCCCTCAGGAGCTGGGGGAGGTGGAGAAACTTTCAGGGGTGATCAGGGCAACAGCTACTGCTCACACCCACTGATGGTGCTGAGCCATTGGGACCAGTGCTGGGCACTGGCAGCAGGTGTGAGGGCCGGGCAGAACTGCAGTGTGTGGGAATAAAGAATTTTCAGTAACCACCAGAAGCTCACCCCGATGACAGTGACTGGCGCCACTGCTCACCTGCTCCACCATCCCATCGTGGCTGATGCCCGCCATGTTCTATGCATGCCCCCTGCTGGTCAGCACAAGTCATACAGACTGGTTGTTCGGTTCCATTTGTTCTGCCGTTTAGTCTATTTTCATATTATCCTTTTATTATATAGGATTGCTCCATCATTGGATTGCAATCTCCAACTACTCAACCAACTTAGGAGAAGATCCATTTATGTATTTGGTCATTGTGCATGTTGAGAGCATGGTTTGCTTTTGTGATTGATGCTACGTTTTCAATATTTTGAGGAGAGGACTTACCCAGCCCCATTTGGCCTGACAGATTTCCACGTGTCGGAATCCCAGACGGTCCTCGGTGTCTCCAAGGGAGAAGCAAAGCCAACGAGGGCAGATGCCCAAGTGAACAGAGCACCTGAAGGCAAAGCCAAGGGTCTCCCTGCACACGGTGAGGAGCAGATTGGGGGCGGGGGCAGGGTGGAGGATCTGCTTGTAACTTTTAAAGGGCCCTCACATTTCATTTCATGGCTGCCTTTAATATTTCCTCCCCCCCTTCCTGTTGTAGGTCTTTGCATATTTATTTATTCACTCAACAAACATTGTTCAGTCCTCTGCTTTACTGTGGGGGATATAAAGGTGAACAGCCTTCATGGAGGCCCCTCTGTTACTCAGAATACTTTGAGTGATTCAAAAAAAGTGCTGTTAAAACTCAAATTAATAAATTTTATATATATATATATATATATATATATATATATATATATATATATGGCTAAGTGACCAGCTGTACGGCTGTCCGTCTGGTACATATGGCACACACTGGCAATTTAAAAATAAACACACAATTGACTCACACATGTGCGATACATATAAATCTCTAACTGGTGCCAATCGCACATGTGTATTTCAATCTGTCATTGTTGATATTGTTGATCGTGAATTTGGTTGTTTTTTTACATAGTTGTGGTAGAATGACTGTTACATGTCAATTTTGCCTATCACTAAATTTCTCTGATTAAAAACCATCTGATGGAAAATTTACTCAACATTGTTACTCAATGTTGTAACAAAGGCAAAGTTTGTCCAAATGATATAAATTTTCCAGAATAACCAGCATATTTTTTTAAATTAATGATAAACAAAGATTATTAGTGATGGCAAACCTGATAGTTTTTATTTAGGAATGGATATTGAAACCCCCCATGAAATGATTTGTAATGGATCTACTATTGAAGCTACCTTTGGAATTAGTTTATCTATAGATAACATTAAAAATATATCTAAACGATAAATATATTTATCCTAAAAACTGAGTAAATTCGTAAATTAAATGAAATTTTGGATGTACTCGATGGAGATTTTCACACCTATTTAAGTGACGATTCCATCGATTCAATGGATGATGCTAAAAAGGAAAATTTTCCCATCAAATTCCTAAATAGTGTTACTCCTTTGGGAATGATGTGTCATAAATCAAAATTGAAAGTAGGTGCAATCATCATGCTACTGAGAAATATTAATAGTAAATGGGGTTTTTATAATGATACTAGATTTATTATCAAAGGATTGCAACCTAACATAATCGAAGCTGAAGTAATAACAGGATCTGCAGAAGGAGGGGTTGTTCTGGTACCAAGAATTGCTTTGTCCCCGTCTGACACTGGCCTCCTATTTAAATTAATTCAAAGATGGTTTCCCGTGATGCCAGCATTTTCCATGACTATTAATAAGTCACAAGGACAAACTCGAGACAAAAATAGGAATATTCCTACCTGAACCTGTTTTTGGACATGGTCAGTTCTATGTTGCTTTCTTTCAAGTTTGAAGAGCGTGTGACTTTAAAGTTGTAAATCCTTTATCACAAGGGAAATTAGTCAAGCACTCTGAAAGTGTTTTTACTCCTAATGTGGTATACAGAGAGATATTAGAATAAGGTTAATCAATTTATCAGGCATTGTTTTTATATCATGTTTTTGTTGTTTTCATATCATGTCTTTGTTGTTATATCATGTTGTTATTATTTATTAATCAATTTATATATTATTTTCATATACATTTTGCTAATATTCTCTCATCTCTGACACTTCTATTATAGAGAAATGGCGAATAGCAATATTAAAATATTTCTTCTAATTAATTTCCTTTCAATGTGCACGAATCCATGCACTGGGCCACAAGTTATCTTAACAACCAGTTACCAGTTGTCCTGGTGTGAGGACAAGGATGATGTCTAGATGGTTCATCATTCCCTCCAACAATGCTTAACACAGAGAAGGCCCTCAGTAATATGGACTGAAGGGAACATTTAGAAGGAATTGTAGCTACTGGTTAAAATGACACCAGGAAGCGTCTGTTAGTATTTGCCTTGATTTCTATACTTTGGAATAATTATCTGTTTCAAGTACCTCTTCCCCATAGCAATATTGCTGGAAGAAGGTGTTTTAAAACTGTTGTTTCCTACCCAACAGGTCAGTCAGAATCCAATGGAATCTTACACAAAGTGAAGTCGCAGAATCATCCGAATCTCCGCCATATTCTTATATTCTATGCAGTTGTGTAAGTAAATGAATTTACTAGAAGTGGCTTTAGGAAATGATTCAGTTCTTGTGCAGATGGCATAGCTTAGTGGCTGAGCGTTGACCTGTGAACCAGAAGGTCAGGTTTGATTCCTGGTCAGGGCACATGCCCGGGCTGCGGGCTCCGTCCCCAGTGTAGGGCATGCAGGAGGCAGGCGATCAATGATTCCCTCTCATCATTGATGTTTCTGTCTCTCTCTCCCTCTCTCTTCCTCTCTGAAATCAATAAATATATATATTTTTTAAATTATTCAATTCTTAAAAGGAATCATCTTTTCGTGTTGCCAAGAGCCACTGTAAATCTCAGTTGTGTCCAATGTGACCCCAATCTTTTCTCCCATAGTTTTTGTCTCCTGTGGCAACATTTTTTTCCCCTTAAGCTCTGGTCACATTATAACGTTCATTCCTTTCTCATTTAAAGTAAAAAGAGGGCCAAAACCGGTTTGGCTCAGTGGATAGAGTATTGGCCTGCAGACTGAAAGGTCCCAGGTTCGATTCCGGTCAGGGGCATGTACCTTGGTTGCGGGCACATCCCCGGTAGGGGGTGTGCAAGAGGCAGCTGATCGATGACTCTCTCTCATCAATGTTTCTAACTCTCTATCCCTCTCCCTTCCTGTCTGTAAAAAAAAATCAATAAAATAGATTTTTTTTAAAAAAGGTACACCAAAGCTCAGAAGATTTCTTTTTAAATAAATAAATAAATAAATAAAGTGAAAAGAGGGAGGAAGGAAAAAGCAAACTGATTGTGCCAAATCCAGCGGAGGACTGAGGGCTGAGTGGATACTATTGGCTGGGACATTACAATGAAGCATCTTTGTCCTGATTGTTTATTTTCCATCCAACCCATGTTCTCTGGCTAAAGGCCAAAACAACTTGAAAATGTCATCCCCTTGATTGAAAACATGGGCTCTGACTTCTTTAACTTCCCCCTCACTTCCAGTCTGTAATCAGTGGTTCTGAAAATAGCCGGACCCGGTTCTGGGCTCTTCCTCACACCAGGAGGACAGGCCCCGTTTGGCTTCCAGATAAAGCAGGGAATCCGTGAGTCACCAGAACAAGACTGGGCACTCGCAGGCGGGGCCCTGCTGGGGCCGGCGGCAGCGCCGGGGAAGGAGGAGCCTCTGGGCCGCCCGGAACGCCTGTTGGAATCTCCTGTAAATGGAGGGATTTGGGCCAAAGAATTTTAAATCCCTTGATAGCTCCGAAGTTTTGTGACAAGCATCTACCTTTGAAGAAAGATCTCTTTTAAAACATCTTTGGTCAAGTTGTTTTAGAAAATACTTTGCCTCGAAGAATGTACAGCTGGCTCTGAGTTATTGTTTTATTTTTATTTTTGTCTTGTTAACTCTCACCTGAAATGTTTTTCCCATTGGTTTTTAGAGGGAGAGAAGGAGAGTGGAAAGGGAGGGAGGGAAGGGGAGAGAGAGAGAAACATGCATGTAAGAGAGAGATATCAATTAGTTGTCACCGAAATGAGCGGAGGATTAAACCTGCAACCTGGGTATGTGCCCTCGACCGGGAATCAAACCCAAGACCCTTCTGTATGTGGGCCGACGCTCTGACCACCGATCCACACCAGCCAGGGCTGTCTCTGAGTTTATTGTTTTGTGATCATCAGGGCCTGGCCACTGACCACTGAGATTTCTCCTGTGTTCCTTTGCAGTGTCTGCGCTCTAATCCTCTCGACCTTCTACATGAGATACAGAATCAACACCCTGGAGGAGCAGCTGGGGTCGCTGACCTCCATTATGGACACCCATCACGCTGAGTAAGACCCGCCCCGCCTGTGCTAGCATCTGCTTGCCATTCAGATCAGTGGGATGTTAGACCCGACTTTAGCAGCCTCCTTAAGCAAATATTAATTAAGCATACATTTTATGTGAGATATTTTAAGTGTATTCTTGAGGAATACAGAGGTGGGGAAGTCCCAGAGACGAATGACCTGACTGTGCATGTTCTTGAGTTGCTATAGTGTTGCTAGTGATGAGGCTAGAAACAAGCCTAGTTGTACATTATCTTGTTCTTTTATCCTGAGACTCAGTTGTGACCTTGGCCCGTTTATTAAAATATGAAAGTGTAGCTGGAAGGGGAGGGAGTCAAGACACTGAGAGAATAGGAGAGAAGCAGTTCCAGTAACTCCGCACATCCGATCTCCGATAACTGTGTGCTGGCCTGTTTACTCTCAGAACTCTTCCTCGCTGTAAAGATCCACGTGGCTAGTAATTGTTTGATGGTACCCGGGAAGTTTTTCTATCACAATCATTTTACATGCCTGACCTGACTGAACCTATTCAGACTCCGAGCCCTTTCCTTTAAACCCAGTCCCCATGAGGATCTTGATGTACTGCCTAAAACGTAAAATAAAGTGTTATTCCACATTAGGAAACGTGCTTTTAGCAGATGTCCTAAAAGTAGGGATATTCCTTTACACAGAGCACACACCATGTGCTGCTGACCCTAACAGAATGGAATCCACATGCACAAATACAGTTCCCTCTCCCTGTACCTTCTCACTGCTATTCCCATTTTACAGATGAGGTAACTGAGACCAGGAGAGATAATTAGCTTCATGTCTTCCAGTTTGAAACAGAGTCAGGACCCACCTGCAGTCTGTGTGACTACAAAGACCATACACTGCCCAGCCCACCAGTGGCTACATCTGTCTGAGAAGAGCAACAGTTCTTCCCCAGGACATAGAGAGGTTGCTGGAGGCCAATAAATACAAGGGGTTTGAGAAACCATGGGCGTGAGAATAAATGCCTGGTTTCTGTTTGGAAGCCGAAGCACAGTGCCACCACTTACACAAAAATAGCTTCAGAGATTTCCGGCTGAGCTGTTAAGAATTAGCCCACAAGCATCCAGTCTGGAGTGGATTCCTGCGGGCCGTTCTGGCGTTAACAAGTGAAATGCTCCCTCTCTCCGGCTGTAACCTGGTTTTCTGTTCAGATACCAGCCAGAGGCATTTCTTCCTCCTCTGACCCGGCCGCTCCCGCCTGCCCACCCGGGTAACGCTTCTCTCTGTCCCGCAGACACACAGCGCCGCCCGGCCTGGGGTCGCAGGTGCAGTTGAACGCTGAAGTCCTCTGCCGAGAGCTCACCGCCAACATCGTGAAGCTAGAAAAGGTGATTTCCTTCCTGAGCTGGGGTGGGTGTGGTGGTGCCTGCCACTTGCCGTAGATCAGTGGCTACTCACTAAAACCCTTCTGGTGTGTGCAGCAAGCAGCCAAGGTGGCCAAACCCAGCCCAGGGAGCACGTGGTAAAAGTGAAAGACAGTCTTTTATTTGCACGAAGAAACAGGTTCCGATCTCATTTTCCTCGTTGGTCTGTCTGCTGGCTTCCGTCCTTGGTTAGAAATCGTCCTCTGTGCCTCAGAGCCCGGTGCCAAGTGACCTCTGGCACAGGGCTCGGCGGCGGAGGGACCCAGAAGGGAGTGTCCCAACCGAGAGCGCAGCCCCACCTCCACCCAGGCCCATGGTGGCCAGCCACTGCAGCCATTCCCTGTCATAGCCCTGCGGGACGGGGTCACTGTTCCTACGTGACCGAGAAGAAGCCACGTTTCTATTCACTTGCACAGGGAGACAAGGCCAGGACGTGGGCAGGCCGGGAATCTGTGATGTCAGAGTTGTGCATGGCAGCCCCTGCCCTCCTGCGCCCCAGAGCCCAACCTTAGTCCTTGTGGCTCAGCCCACGGATGTACCTGCACCACTGAAGGCACCTTCCTGTAGGACAGCTATGGGGCAGGCCTGCCCTCCTGCCCAGGGCATTCTCAGAACTCAGGAGGAGAGGGAACAGGAGAAAAGGGGAGGCATGCCAGAGATATCCTAGTGAAGCCTGGTTAACACTTCTTACTCCCGTCAACGTGTTCATCCCTTCCCCTCTGAAAATCTGTTTTCGCCCTAGCCCTTAAGGAAAGGGTTCGAGGAGTTCAGTGTTCAGTTCAATCCCACCCATGCCCAGGCGCTTTTCAGGATCGTGCAGGTACACTTACTTGGGGAGAAACATGAACTGCAAAGGAGTCAAAATGTTTGTTTTGCTTTACCAAATGTGATCTGACATTGAACCACTGAAGTATGGAGAGCAAAGGTGTTCCCAGACTCCTGCCCTTAAACCAAGGCATGCCAGATCCTTCCTGTCGCTTCACTGTATCCACGGGCTGACTGGAAACCTCTCTTCCTCTTTTAAATCAAAAGCAGCCTAGAGAAGGTATGGGCTAGCAACCAGAATTACTTTCCTTTCTACAATGGTAGTTGTTGAGACCTGAGGTAACTTTTAGTTTTCCCTGTAATGACATGTTGACCAGTGCTTGGGCTTCTCTGCTGACCGAGTGAGTGAGCTGGTTTTGATGTTATATTTTGCTCCCTCTGGCAAATGCCAGTATTCTTTGGACCAGAAGCACACAGAATTCTGCTGCCTTCACCTGTGCTTCTTCCCATTCTCCTGCCTGCCTGGCAAGGACACCACATTCTATAAGGAGGGACAGAAAAACAGGAGCTCAGACAGAGCCCCGCCCCTCAGCTAAGAGGCCAAGCTATGCTCATATGCATATACATTCATTGGTTAATCTCTCCTTCCCCTACCCTCCCTCCCGAAATACGGTAGTCTCTTGCTTGTTTCGGTGTCTCGATCTGTTTTGTTCATCAGTTTACTTTGTTCTTAAGATTCCAGAGTATTATGCTAATTGAAATAAGCCTGTCAGAGAAAGACAAGTATCACATGATCTCACTCATATGTGGCATCTAATCATTTCTTTTTCTGTCTTCCCACTCCTGCTTTTTTATCTTGGGACCTGTGGGATAGGTAGGGAAGACATGAAGTAGGAATGTGGAGGACGAAGGCAATGCCTTTTGTGGGTAAAAAAGGAAATACTGATTTCCTTAGGACTGGAATTGGCGTTCATGGTGGATCAGTACAGGCGGAAGAGCATAGATTCTCTGGAGGCAGACCCCACCCTCCCTATTGTCCTTGACCACTGGTTAGGCTCATATGTGCGCACACAAGTCCTTGGTTGAGCTCTCCCTTTTATCCCCACCCTCCCTCTGAGGTCCAACAGCCTGACCCATGACTCCTTATCTCTGGGTCTGTTCTTGTTCATCAGTCTGTGTTGTTCACCATTTCCCCTAAAGGAGAACATGATCTGTTCTGCTGGAGACTCCATTCTATTTAATAACAGGAGCTTCTCTGTTACTATTTCAAGATACAGAACAACTTACAGAAATTGCTGGAGAATGGCGACTGACAGACCAGACTGCGTGGGCCAACGTGATACCTCGCACTTCCCTTTGAAGAAGGTGCTCCGGGAGGCGCCCGGCGAGTGCTCCCTGCTGGCCGGAGGAGCGAGCGGCGGAGAGGCACCCAGCACCCAGCCCCGTGCGCCCTGGGAGGTCTCCAGCTCAGGGAGGGGGGAGGGGGAATAATCCTGGTTCCTGGGCAATGAAAGTTGACCTTGACTCTCGGAAGTGTTCCGTGTTGCTGCCTGAAGGAGCCAGCCCCATCCCAGGAGGACCTGGTGGACACTCTTACACGGCTGTGGTTCGTGGCCACAGTGTCAGCAAACACTCCACAACGTGCCTTGTCAGTCCCTCCCACCCTCCGCACCGCAGCCTTCCAGCTAAGGGATAGATCATGTGCCAACAGCCCCGAGACGGCCCTCTGAGGACTGAGCCATAACTCTCCAGAAGGCAATACGGAGCTCCGATAGACAGGCTTGCTTCGAAGAAATGACCCCAGCATCTTGTCCTTTTTTCTTTTTTTCCCCCCTTCTACTGTTATGTTCTGGTTTAAATCATCTGTGTATCTTAACTTCTCAATTGAATACTGGCAAAAAATATTGGGCAAAGCAAATAAACCATCCCGTTTCCATTTCGTTTTGTCCCTCTAATAATATGTAATTGAACTAGTTCTCACCCGCCCCAAGAATCTGTGAGACCTGGGACTGGAGTACTAAGTAAACTTACTCAAAACCAAAACTAATCTTTAAACCAAAAAATATAATGTGATTTGATACACGATGAAAAACTTGGAAATTTTAAGATGATAGGTGGACGATGTTACTTTTGAAAAAAAGATGTCTGTGTTGAATGTTGAAACCCGTTTCGGCATAACGACAGCATACTTTTGTGCTTTTGCTGACTAAGGTAAAGAAATAACCGGTGGTTTGATAACTTCTATTTACCATAGGGTTGCCTGGTTTTTATTAATAATTATTTAGGTACCGTAAAGATCTGTAATATGAAAGGTATTCCGTTTCTGTCTGCAATGCATTTTATAATCATTTCTATGAAATGTATTTTATTTAATCAGATAAGCTAATAAGTGAATTGGTTACATCATTTGTGTCTGTCAGCCTACTGGACAAGAATTGTGCCTGGTGCACCCTGGCTTTTAATAAATACTCATTGGTGAAAACACCTTGCTAGCACGGAGCTTTGTCAATTTCTTAATTCTTTTAACAAAGACATAGTTTTAACTGTTTCTTACTTCCTCCCTACTACTTCCAACTCACCCATACTTCTTTTCTCCTGAGTATTCATTTCAGAGCTCAAAATTATTTAAATTTGGGTTGTAATAATATGAGGGAAAGAAAAAGAACATTGAAATCAGGAAACCAATGCCTGATTCCTAGGTCCACATTTTACAAATTGTGTGGCCTTAAACAAGATATTTGGCCATTCCCCCACTCCCTCCTCAATCCCCTCCCTCCCCTGCTATTTTATTGAAAGGACCAACAAAAAGTCACTGTGAGGAGTACATACAATAATGTTTCTAAAGTATATTGCTGTGTCATGCACGTAGTATAATCTCATAACAGATTACCATATTCATTATTTGTTTAATGTTTTCCTATCCAGCATTCCAGCTTTATAAAAGTTCTATGTCAATGCTTTTTAAATTCCTTTTATCCTCACCAGAGGATGTTTTCTTATTGATTTTTTTTAGAGAGTGGAAGGAAGGGAAAAGAGAAACATCAATGTAAGAGGGAAACATTGATTAGCTGCCTCCTGCATTCATCCCACTGGGAATCAAGTCCAAAACCTGGGCATGTGCCCTGACCAGGAATTGAATCATGATCTCTTGGTTCATAGGTCGATGCTCAACCACGGAGCCACACTCTCCGGGAGGGAGCCACTTTTTCCTGTTCTCCCCTCTCCCCCAAGAATCATATATTAATAGTTGGCTCTTCCAAAGAGAAAGAAAACGCTTCACTTATTACAACATTTGGGTTGTAATAATATGAGGGAAAGAAAAAGAATATGTTGCTGTTTGTTTTATTTTCTCTTTTAATGGATGTATTGGGGTGACATTGGTTCACCCCAATACATCCATTAAAAATTATATAGGTTTCAGGTATAAAGTAATACACACCATCTGTATACTGCATTGTGCATTTACTGCTTGTTTTACTTTTTTATAGCTAGCTCCTAAGTCAAAATTTGGTGCACATGGCCCTGGTGGCTCAGTTGGTTGGAGCAGCATGCCATACACCAAAAGGTTGTAGGTTCCATTCCCAGTTAGGGCACATACTAAGGTTGGGGGTTTGATACCCGGTCAGGGCGTGAATGGGATGTAACCAATGTTTCTCACATTGATGTTTCTCTCTCACATTGATGTTTCTCTTTCTCTTCTCACCCCTTCCTCTCTCTAAAAGCAATAAAAACATATCCTTGGGTGAATATCAAAAAAGAAAAAATCTGGTAGAAGTGGATCTAAATGTGACTCCCAGGTCATTGGGAAAGCAAGCATCTGGGATTTCCAGCCTCTACCACCTAGCTACCAAGGTCGAGAATCTTAACTTAGGAAGGGTTTCAGATGCTGAGGGACTAAAATAATAGCAAATGTCCACCATATACCTTGCCCTTTAAAGCTTGAATATTCATCTTTACAGAATCAGAAAATAGGCCTTAAAAAGAGATTATTGGTTGTAATGCTATTTCAATACATTCTGATATTTTTTAAAAATATATTCTATTGATTTTTTACAGAGAGGAAGGGAGAGAGACAGAGAGCTAGAAACACCGATGAGAGAGAGTCATCGATCAGCTGCCTCCTGCATACCCCCCACGGGGGATATGCCCGCAACCAAGGCACATGCCCCTGACCGGAATCGAACCTGGGACCCCTCAGTTCCCAAGCCAACGCTCCATCCATTGAGACAAACCGGTTTCGGCTGATATTTTAATCTATGAATATATACTTGAGACCCAGTGTACAAAAATTTGTGCACTTGGGGGCAGGAGAAGGGGTCCCTCAGCCTGGCCTGCACCCTTTCATAGTGCAGGACCCCTCAGGGGATGTCCAACTGACGGCTTAGCAGTAGCCGGGCATCCTTAGTGCTGCCAAGGAAATGGAGAGGCCTCCCACACTGCACTGGCACTTGTCAGCCCAGCTTGTGGCTGGGGGGAGCTTCTCCTTCGTTGAGCGTCTTCCCCCTGGTGGGCATTGTGTGTCATAGCAACTAGTTGTTCTTGATCATCCTGCCATTAGGGTCAATTTGCATATTACCCTTTTATTATATAGGATTTTGGTGAATAGAAATTACCAATCTTACATAAACAGGAAAAGCTATTATTGACATCTCAAGTTTTGTTACTATTTAAGATACCTTCCTACATATACTCTACAACACTGCAAGGCGTTTCCCAGGTGTGGATTTATGCAATTCTTTGAAACTATTCCAGACACGTTTTTAAAAGATGCCTTTTCGCTGTCCGCAACTTATTCTAATTCACAAATTTATGGACTCAGCTAAAAAGATTTCCAGCTTAAATATGAATTATCTCATGCTGTTTTGATTTATGTATCCTAATAGTGAAATTCAAGACATGCTTTTCTTGTTCATCTGTTTGTTTCTAGTGATCAACATGTTACAGATAGTCCAGATGACTTTGCTCTCAAGCATTTTTTAAAAAGTCAAAGTCTTACATATCATTAAGAGTTATGCCATCATTAGTAACCAGATCTGCTCACAAATAAGCCCAGTAATATAATACTGGTATTCTTTTTTTTTTTTAAGCCATCGCTGCTACTAATATTACCAGTTCTTGACTAAAATTTAAAAATCAGATATTAAATAAAGTGTCTTTGATTATTGAATTTCCAGCACATCTGTGTTTTTTCCAAATATGAAGCCTTATCCAAAGCAATTTTTAGATTCAATGAAACCACAATCAAAATTCCAATGCCATTTTTCACAGAAACAGACCAAACAATTCTAAAATCTCAGTGGAAAGACAAAAGACCCCAAACAGCCAAACAAAGCAATCTTAAGGGACAAAGATTGTGTGCTGTCTAACCTGCATCATCCTAACAGCATCCTAATTTGTTTTATTTCTAATTTTTAAGGCCCTTCTTAATGTATAATTTATATACAGTAAACTACATGTTGAATGTGTGCACTTTAAGTTTGGCTTAAGCATATACTTGTGAAAGCATCACTATAATCAAGATCATGAAAATATCCATCACTCCCTAAAGCAATCCCTAGGCAATCCCTCTCCTGTGTCTCACTGTACCTCCACCCCAGCCCCAAGCAACCACAGGTCTGCTTTGAGTTTCTATCTATTGGTTTTAATTTTCTAGAATTGTATGTAAGTGAAACATGCTGTATATACTCTTTTTTGATCTGGATTCTTCGTTCAGAATAATTATTTTAATATTTTTCTACTTTTAGTATGTTTCCATGTTCTATTCCATTTCAATTGCCAAGTAGTACTCCATTGTCCATACCTGCCACAAACTGCTTATTCATCAACCTGTGTGGTGTTTCTAGTTTTTCTTTATCACAAACAAAGCTGCTTTATAAACATCCCTGTAAACCCTCTGTGTGGACACATACTGTCCTTTCTCTTGGGTGAACACCTAAGAGTGGAATGGCAAGGTCTAAAGTAGGTACATATATGATTAAGCTAAAAAGCTACCAAACTGTTTTTCCAAAATGTACTACTTAACATACCCAACAGGGTATGAGAGTGACAGTATTTCTAGATCTCACCAACACTTGATATATTGGTCTTTCACATTTTCAAGGAGCTTTTCAAATTCTGGGGCACTTGGTGGTAGTTCTAATTTGCAGAGCTCTAATGACTTAATGTTGACCATCTTTCCGTATGCTATTTGACCTCATCTATATATCTTCTTTGGCGAAGAGTCCGTTTAAATCCTTTGCCCATTCTCTATTGGACTCTTTTCTTATTATTATTGAGATTTAGAGTTCATTATACTGTATTCTGGATAAAAGTC